GTCGATACTTACGTGTATATATCTGCACCTATGTGCGCGCGGATCACCCACCCTTCCAGTCTTCCATCCCACCCCCAGCGCCGCGAGAGAATCGTAAACATTAATTTCAATTAAGCGCCTACATAAATTATGATTAACGTTGCGGCTTTATCGCGTATCGATCGATGACCACATCACGGCCGCGTATGTCACATAAAAATAAAGCGATCGCGAAGAAATCGGAGCGAGGCAACGTATTATATGTGGCGCATTTGCCGCGCGGCTCTTCATTAATGCAAACGAGCGCCGCCGAGTTCTCGGCCGTTAGCCGCACGATTATCTAGAAAACATAAGAAAGTTCCCTTTTCACTCCGGTGGGTAATCAGTGTCGGCGGAGATAAGCGAGTAAAGGAAGAAGACGCCTTTTATCTGTGTCAACGCAGATATCTGTTAACTAAGTGCCAGCTAATGCAATACGGTTCTCTTTCGGTATTCTTTCCCACGTTAAAATTGCCTATTAGGAAATAGATCTTATTAAACGTGTCAATCAGCTCGTGGTCGGCTCGAAGTTTTAAATCAAGTACGTCGAAAATGTGTCGGAAAATACAATAAATGTGCGAGAACGATTATTATGTATCGCGATATAACAATACACAGTGTAACACATTTAACAATCAAAAAGCAACAATAATCGCTCGTATACTCGACGCATAGTTTCCCTCGCGCGACGCGCGTTCCCGTTCCCGCTTGAAATATTTTACAAGGAGAAAGTGAATTCTAGTCGTCGACACACGCGTGGCCAAAACTTTAAATCCGTGTAAGCACCGAGATAAAATCATGTGTAACCGGTGCCATGTCCAAGACTCCGCCGGACACGTCCGAGGAGTCGTAAAAACCGCACCGAAAAAGATTCTCCCGTCTCTCTTTCTCGGCGCCGCTTTCGTCTTCTCTCCCTTCCTCCTCTCTCTTTCTCTCTTCTCTTCCGTGCTTTTCACGCGAACACGTTAACGACCGCGCGCGGGACCCATTAACACGATTTCATCGGCGACACAAATCTTTCGTTCCTGTTGAAAATCCTGACCGTCCGTGACGCGGGATCGCAAGAGACGTGTGGCACGTGCTTGCGGACAATGCCGGGAACCACGCCTCCTCTCTCTCTCTCTCTCTCTCTCTCTTTCTCTATCTCTCGGTTTTGTGTTTGAATTTCTACGCCTCAGATTTCTACGGGGCTCCGAGAGAGAGAGAGAGAGAGAGAGAGAGAGAAAAAGAGAAAAGAACGTTATGCATATGTTAATATAACACACCATCCAGCCTGTACATATTTCGGAATTCTCGACCTTCCACGCTTCTCGAGCGATCTTTTTCAGACGCATATATTCAAAACAAGGAAGTTCAAGATTATCTCATTGACTGAAAACCTCGTGGAAACTGATGTAACATTTGCAAACAAGAGATTCTTTCGATAAGAGTGTAAATAAATAACAGAATATTTCACTTTTAATATTAATTTTCCAAAAATACCTCGCGATAAATAGAGCGAATGTAAACTGAAAACTTGTTCACGAGTTCGCGAATAAATTTCCATGAAAAGTAGGATTAAAAAAAATAATCATAGATGATTCTACACGCCGGAATAACGTACGCGGTCACTCCTCGCGCTCTCACAATTCCTGGAAGCTGCAATTACATATTTTTCTTTTTTTCTTTCGTTCTCTCTTTTCCTCGTGAGTTCCCTCCCTCGAGTTCTCTCCCCGAAGTTACGCGGTGCACAAGCTAACGACCTGGGTAACCGGCCGTGATATTTCCAAAGTAACGTCATCGTTGGCCACGATGCTACGCGAGGCGACGGGTCTGGCGACAGAGGCACTCATTACAACTTCCGGTCTCTGCACGGGAGTCTCGCGCGAGCGAGAGAAAGATAGACGCATATATATAATCGACGGAAGGGAGGAAGAGAGAAGGAAGATCGACAACAACGACGACGAATCACGGGAAGGGGAAAGAAAGAGAGGAAGAGAGAGAGAGGAGAGAGAGATAATACGAGAGTAAAGAGGAGGAGGCGTGGGGAGAGGCGCGGTGAAGGGAAAATGCTCAACAAATAGTCACATCCTCATGATGGAACGGCGTATCAAACTCATTAGACGTCATCACTAAATCGACACGATTACGTTCCACGGAAAATCACAATATCTCTTCCTTTCTCTTTCTCTCTTCTCTTCTCTTCTCTCTCTCTCTTTCTCTCTCTCTCGCGACAACGGGGCAATCGAACGAACGTCTGGGCGTAGAGTCGCCAGACCTAACAGGGGGACTACTCTAGGCCACGAGGAACAGTCACGGTGGCAATGATTCACGCCGAGCTATGTAAAACTGGTTTCGTACAGCACACACATACACACACACACACACGACTGGCCAAAAAAAACTTCCGATTTATCTACAATGGAACGTGATAGAGAGAAACTAGGTCCGGACATGTACGCTAATCCCACTATCTTATCGCTCGGTGTGTGCCAACTAAAGTAGTATTTCGAGTAGTATTTATACTAGAAGAAGAATCTTGCGTAACCAGTAGCCTACTATCGACGACTATGTTCTCTCTGATACATATGCATTGTGTCGCGCGACGATACGTATTCACGATAGCGACTCCAACGGAGTCGTCAACGGTCACAGAATCGTCCTACAGGTGCGAAAGAGTTCAGCAGCCTTTGTCTTCGGCAAAAAAAAAAAAAAAAACAAAAAACTATCCGTTACTACAAGAGAGAGTGTGTACAAAACCGACTAACTCTCCTTCGTAACACGTTCCGTAAAAAAAAGTTTGCTACCGCGACACCACCAGGTTTAAAAACTATTTTATAAACACTTGCGACGTGCAAATAAAAAACTTAAATCGAAAAGAAACAAAGCGAATTGCCATTTCCAAACAAATAAGCTCCGATTGAGAAATAAAAAACGACGGTCGCGTGGAATTCTCACGGGAATAAGTAGACGATTACCAAGTATACGCGCGCCAAAGGCGAACGGAAGGGAGAATACGAGCACGTACGCGAGTGGGACGAGCGCGGAATTTCAAAACGCGCCGAGGTTCAAACCCGCGGACACAACTCTCGACATCGTTCTAAGTGTCGGGTCTAATATTTGTTATACCGGTGCCGTCTCAAGTTCGAGCGATCGTATCAGCCAAGATACGGCTTCCTTCCTAACTATGTGTGTGTGTGTGTGTGTATGTGTGAGATGGTAATGTGTCTCCGATTACAGCCGGCGTAAGAGCGACGCGCCGGTCAAATTCGACGATCGATATCTCCCGGATGTGTGGATTCGAAACATAGCTCGCGCGCCGGTTTTTCGCAAAACTCGAACGTGTATATATATATATATACAGTATGCATGAACGTATCGCTGCGAGTGAGAGAAAGAGAGGGACGTCGGTTCTGCGAACGGTATTGATCGCCGCGATTATTCAGCCGCGCACAATCGCTGCTGTCGGACGTTAAAGATTTTTAAAGGCCACGTGCCGCGCCGTTATCTGAATTTCTAAACATTTCGCGAGACGCGCGCGACACCGTTCGATCGAAGCGCGTGTCGACTTGTCCGCGGATACGAGATCGGGGGAAACAAAAAAAAACCAATCGTCTAATAAGAGCGAAGATACGGTTTAAGATCCTTATCGTCGCGCGACGTACATTGCGCGATCGGAGATAACGCCGATACGTATCCATTAGCGAAATAACTCCTTTTCTCGCGCGCGGTAAATGGCCCGCGACACTTCCTGACCTCGACTACATTGTGTAAACACTATGAGCAAGCGGGAGACGGCGTGATAAACATTACGGAGCTACGATGTTCTCGGAAAACGTACGAGTTTGATTAGTCTCTGTCTGTCTCACTCGGTGTATATCGAAGCCCCTAAAACGCTCGATAACTTCGGCGAACTTGGGCAAACTTCCAAGTCATCGAGAGAAGATTTAGAAATAAACGTATATCCTTGCGAAGTTATATATATATATATAAATCGCATTTATTCAACGGCCGACATTGTGCGCTTCCGGCGTTTGCCGAGTGCTCCGCAACTATTTCGGATATTTCACCGGGAAAGCTAAATGGCGGAACGAAAAAAAAAAAAGAGCGAAGGTTCTATTGTCGGCACGAATGAGAAAAAAGCGGCAGGGACGACGACGACGACAAATTGACCGTTTCGCAGAACGGTGACCGAGTCTTCTTCAAGGTTGAGACTGGGGGATAATATCGTCTCAACGGACATGCAACGTAGGAATATGAGAATAATATAAACGCGTCGTTATTTACGTACCGCGATAGGTGCGTATCGTATCGTGTAACGCATCATGCGATAAATAATCAATGCTTCGTGACAAAACAACGGCATTGCCAAATACACGATATTAAATCGCGGAAAAAAGGAGGAGACAGTCCGTAACGCAAACCACGACCTACGACAGTCGGAAAAGGGAAGGGCACAGGAAAGGGAGAGAGAGAGAGAGAGAAAGAGAAGACCTCTGCCGCGCGCCCTCTTCGTAGAGCGCGCGCGTAACAGAATTCGAATAAATTGGTTTAATTGCTCCATCGCGCCCGGTATCAAGTTTCCCGCGGCGTGCGTTTACGGTCGTGCCAATGAACTGTCAGTGGCGCTATACTCGCTGGCGCGACTTCGTCCAAGCGAGACGCGTTAAAACCAAGAGAATTGAGAAGAAAAAAAAAATCACGTTTTGCTACTTGGCACCGCGAAGTGTTTCGCGAAAAACTATCGAGATCAAACCGTACGAATGTACTTACACGCGCTTCGCACGTCGCGCTTATCTCGCAGATAATCGGTTATTGTTTATCGGTTAATGTTTATAGACACTCGAGACGGTAACGAGAGTTTGCTTATTTTTCAAAAACCAACGAACAAGATTCTCGAATGCTCGCGCTTTGCATCGAGTTACGATAATAGATACGCAAATGAAATATGAAGAACAAACATGTAAGAAAAAAAAGTTTGCAACAGCGGTAAAAACACTCACCCTGTCGGCCGACAATTTCCGCCACGTGTTCGCTGCTCGGCACCGGAACGCACTCGGTCATGTTCTGGCTCTTCTTGGAACGCGACTCCTCGAAGACAGTAGGTGCGGTCTGCAGCGAATCCGGATCGTTGGTGGTGCCGTTGCCGTTGCCGGGACATCCGGAGGAGCTTTCCAGACCGATCATCGAGAGCTCTAGTGCAAGCTGAAGCGCGCGCTGATCCTCGAGGGACGGCGCACCGCCGTTTGTGCCGCGATCCATCTCGCTGAACAAACTCGTCGGCATTTTGCTCGATTAGAAACAATCGCGCGACACCGGTTTGAAGAAATGTCAGACGACAACGACGACGACGACGACAACTGGGAACGTCGCACCGAAATCCACGCTGCTTTGTGTTCTTCACCGAGTATACAACGTGCTCGCTGTTTCTTCCTCTCCTCCGTTCGTCGTCCTTTACCTTTATCGAACAAACGAGTGAACTGTTTTTATTACACGAAACAGTTCGCGCCGCTACGACTACGACGACGACGGTCACAATCGAGGAACGATGGTGGGACGTAAACGCGACGGAAGCGACGGCGACACTACAACGAAGACGGCAGCGAAATAAACTTGTCCCCGGTTTACGCGTGTGTCGCGATGCTTACAAATACGTACGGGATCACGGCGATTACGTACGACACGCGGATTAGAACGAATGAATTCGTGCAAATGCGGAAGTAATGTCGCCGGTTTCGATATATGTGGTCGTTACCTCTTCCGCTCGCACTGTGCGTTAACTTCGTTTAAGTCCCCCTCTCGTGTGGACTCACTCGGTTCGTTCACACAAAAGTTGAAGCGGTTAGTCAGTCGCTCGTTTCTTCTCGCGCTGGAAACACGCCGGTATACAGTAAAACCACGCAACCGGCAACGAAAATGGCCTTCTCGATATCCCCACTGCGCTTCTCTTGTCAGACGCGTGCGAGTTTGTGCGTGTTCGTGTTACAAGAGCGTCCGCAGTCTCGTTCTTCCTACTCGTGCGAGACGCGTCTTCTTTTCGACTGATGCTTTCGTTCGTTCGTGTTTCTCTCCTCGCCTCTCCTCTATCTATCTCTCTCTCTCTCTTTCTCCCTCTCTTCAAACCACCGACCGGACGACGTAACGACGCGTGTATCGTGTATCGCGTTTGTTCGGCTGCCTCGTCACCGGTTGAACTGACCTGAGTGCCGTAGTCGTCGCGTGAGACTGAAACACTGAAAACGGAGGAAAGGGGCGCGCGCTCACTCTGTGTTTCCGCTCCCTTCTTCCCTTTCTCGAATCCTCTCTTCCTCACACTCTTTCTCTATCTCGATCTCTCCCTCCGGTGTGTCTCTCGTTCACCTCTCTTCACCTCGCGATCTTTCCTTTCGAAGGCAGGCGCGTGCAACTACCCTCTCGTTCGTGTTACCACTGCGACTGACTGCGACGTACTGCGACTGCGGCTGTCGATGCCGGCGCGCCGCCATGTGCCGGACGCCGGCTCTGCCCGGCGCCGATTGGTCGCTTACGTCACGTGGTACACGGCCAACCCTTCCCCACTACCGGCGCGACGCACGGGCGCTCGCGTAGCTAACGGCGCGGCGGAACGACAACCGCGCCGAGCGGAGCAACGTTGTTACGTTCGTTCTTTGGCTCCTTTGCCGCTACGGATGCGTGCACACTATCGTCCCCGGTCTACACCAACCCCCTCCGTGTGTATCCGTTCAAGCCGAGTTTCCCTGCTGCTGAAACACCGCCGTCGTTGGCCGTTCGAATGGCGCGTTACGCACCACCGATTTTCCGGAGCAGCGAGCTTCGATTCAGATTCCTCCCCCGGGGGAAAGAAACAACAAAAAATGCATCTTTAACTTTTGCGCGATGCGCATATGAAAGCTTTTCCTGACGATGGCTTCTCTCGCGATGCAACACTCTGCTCGTGCGTTTCAGACTGTGGACTTTAAAACGTACGTGAAAATTCCGCGATCGTAAATCGATTTTTCTCGCGCGATCCGATTCTGTACATTTTGCGCGAAATGAAATACAAATGTCGGTTTTCTAAAACTATACGATCAAGACGTGTTAAGCTTTTCTCTTAAGGCGAAATAAATGTCCGCGCAACGATATATGTATACGATTTTTCCCCGCGAATGTCGAACGGGTCAAAGTGCACCGACCTAGGCGGACTCGTGTGTAACTCGCTCTTTCTTTCTCTCCTCTCGCGTATCCGTGTGCGAGGTGCACTTTTATCTCCCATTTTAACGGAAAGATAAACGCAACGTCCGTTTACAAATCCGAAGGAATAACATCCATCGCGCGGTTCGGATCGTAAATCGCGTTCCGGAATTATCGCGTATTGCTCGGAGGTTCGTAAAATGTTGATTAAATATATCACTTAATATATCTCAAGTATCTAAATATCTTAAGTGTCCGTCTCTCGCGTTCCTTCGGAAAAAGAAAAACGATGTGGTTTGCTCGATCGACCTTTTTGCGGATTAACGAAGGGGACGAGAATTTTACGACCTGTCGCGCAGTCCAACTTACCTATCTCGCGCGATTATCGTCCTTGAACCTCGGTAGCGAATAATTCCAACCTTCGGTTGCTCCGGCTAGAATCGTTGGGCGCGCGCTCGCGCGACCGATGTTACAATTTACTTTCCCTTCTCGACGAAGGAATTTCAGATATTATCTATTGCAAACTCATCGTTGACCCTAAACTTGGCAGTGCAGCGCGCACTCTCTCTTTTTCTGCGTGAAATACCTACCTCTCTTTTTCTTCGCTGTTTCGGATTTTCATTTCCTGGCAGCTTGTCCGCGATTGAAGAAAAATTCTTGCGTTGTTTTTTTCTTTTTACATCGAGAATTACAAATTTGGTTCGAGATTATTTCGCTCTATATATCTGCGAAGAGACGAAACTCGATGTGCGTGGGAGCCGACCGTGTGAGCAATCGGAATTTATCGGAGTGACGAGCTTCGTCGCCGCAAGAACCGGCGCTCAACAGTACCGAAATGCCTTGGCGTAGACAAGGTCGAGCCGAATGTCCATACCTGGTGGTCCCCTAATTTGCGAATCAGAAGGCCCGACCACCTGCCCGACTAGCGGTTTCGTTCAAGTAAAAGTGAAAAGAGGCGTCCGTCTCTCCCGAGCCGATTCTCTAGACGCGGATGCCGCGCGGACCTTGAACCGAGGAGCAAACGCGTGATCCATTGTTCTCTGCTGACGACCCTTCGTCCTCTCCTTCGGAGTTCTCTCCTTCCTTCGGGCCTCGATTGCTCGATTTTTTTTGTTTTTAGTCGGGATCCGATCTCACAGGTCCGCGTCCTCCATTCTCGAGGACAGACGGAACAACGGGCGCCGCCGCCGCGATCCACGAATATCCCGCGAATCATCATTTGTTTTTCGCGCATCGCGGCAACGGGTTCTCCGAGTCAAGGCGCGCGTTAGATCCTTTGTTGTGCTCGACGCCAATCGTTTCGATAAAGAAAGAGAAAGAAGAGTTTCTTTCGACTTGAGTCGCAAGATCGGACGTGTATCGTACTGATAAATCTCTATCTGACGACTACGACGAATTCTTCGAGGGTGCGATTAATTCGTTTCTTATCGCTAGCCGAAAGCAACGACCTGCGTGCTTTACCGCGCGCGCGAACTCTTTCTTTCTCTTCAAGGCTGTCTCGGGACAGCAACCACCTTTTGTCACGAGCACCTGCACGACGACTATTCGCGTCGGCTCGCTCGTAAAATATATCGCGTGTTTTATCGTATACATACGATTTTGCGAACTGCCGCCTCGCCAATCAAACTGACGGATTAATCGCGCGAAAACTCGTCAACTCGTGTAACATGTTAGTTTCGGAAAATTCATAAATTTATACGAACTGACAATATTATCGCCAAGAATTTAAAACAATGAGATATAACATTCGCGGTTGTAAAATGTGTAATCTCTTGTCGGTTTGACAGTCGGAGAAACGATCGGTTTCTGCCCGACGACGAACGAAAGGACGTGCTCCACGTCACGTCTGTCCGTCGCGTCGCTCTTTTCTGGCGGATCGGCGTATTAAAACCACCTCCTCTTCGGTGTTCCGCGTCGCTCGTCGTATTTTTACGGCGTGCAACCGGTTGCCTTCTACGTTGCGATCATTGTCGTCGCTTTGGCGAAACCCCGGCGACTCCCGTGGCGCGGCCGCATCCACCGCCGCGATACACACGCGAATAGACGCACCTCCGTACCTGTGTACACATTACACACGTGTATGTACGTGTGCACGCGCATGTAAGGTACACGAGGTTCTGGTAGAGCGCGGAGGAGAGGATATTTCTTTCGATTTCGATCGCCGGGGTGCTGCAGCTACGCCGGAGAACCGCATTGCTGGCCTCTGAGTCGGCGACGGCGATGGCGACCACAACGTCGAGAGATACGGCGTGAAAATCGCCCCGATATTTCTTTCTCGAGACACGTCTTTCGAGCGCATTTCATTATTTTCGCTTAATACGAGCAATTCTCAGTAATATTTCGCACATCAAAATAAGCTCGATACGACATTAACATAAAGCGTGTATAAAAATTTATTATCCTATTGTACGAATATTAATGTTGTGTGCAAAACATTAATATATCATTTTGAACATTAAGACAAACGTTCTCGGTAAACTCGTTATCGGTAAATACAACAATCACGGAGCATTCGCTAATCGGGGTAACTAAAGGCAATCGCGCTTTGCCCCAAGTTTCCTCGGGGCAATTCAAACAGAGGAGAGAGAGAGAGAGAGCGCGCGCGAGCTGCGAGATACCTACCTACTAGCGTCGAATTATCTCGCAATGCGCTGGATATCGATTGGCCGCGTAATGTCTGGTTATCCGCAAAATCGCGCGCGGGCGGTCGACCGCGCTTCGTACACGCAGAAGGCGAGAGAGAGAGAGAGATCTCTATGGCTACCGAAACCGCAGCGGCGCGACCCGTTCTTCGTAAGGTTTGTTGTTGCACAACGGCGGAAAACACACAAACAGCACGCGGGTTTAACTGACGATATCGCTTGCGCGGATGAGATACAAGTTGCCTCTCTAAATACACTAGGCGCGCGCGCTGATTTATCCGCGGAATGCGTCTCGGCTTCTTACCGCAGACACAACACTTGTCACCCTGTCGTGCGCGTCCACGTGGATATGGCATCCGCCGTCGCGCAAAAGTGCCAACCTTTGGTTATCGGTTTTGTGCTCGCTCGCTTTGTTTCAAACGTATATAAATTTTCTTCTTAGGAAAATCGTTGGCGAAAGCAATTAAACCGTAGTTTGATCGAAAACAATTAAATACACACGTTTTAATAAACAATTATATTTACGAATGTGCGAATGAGAAATATTTCATTCATTTCAACGTATTACTTTCTATTGCATTATCCGTTTTTATGCGTCAATACAAAGCGACGTGCGTTTAATAAATCAAACGAAAACACCACGTATGTTAGTGAGAACTTTGTTTTTTTTTTTTTTTTTTTTTCTATAATAACTGTCTCATATGCGCTAAGGATGACGAAAGTGAATTTATGAAATTTCGTGAAACGATTAGAAAATTCTCGAACACTTCAAGAGGATTTGGAAAGATACAATACCTACCTTCGTCAACTCTCTGCAGTTACCAAATGATCCGTACCATTGAGCGACCGATACAATGGCAAGGACAGTATAAATCTTTTGTGACTTTGCTTTAGAATCTTAGCCTTCGAAGTCGAAGGAATTTCTGTCCGAATATGTAGATTTCAATAACGCTTCGAAACATTCCTAGTACATGAAAAATAATCTTAAATTTTCTTCACAGCAGATATTTCCGAAAGAAGAGAAATAATACACCTTTAGTATCTAAATAAGTCTTTCAGAAATATTCAACTAAATAAATTTTAGAAGTAAAAGTTGTCTTTGTTTCACATTGTCCGTAATAAACTTTTTATCAATTTAGGAAAACGTGTTCTAGCAAGAAAGTTTTATCTTTACTATCTAAACAACTTTATTATACACGTTTTGTTTAGATACACTTGAAATAAATAATTTGTACGTACAAGCATCTTACCGTGAATGTCACCATTATGAATATAATTACGCAACTTGTAATCGATTAAAAAACCCGAAATCGAACTTTGTTCTCGACAATATATTATTGACTAATATTTATTATTTACTATTTATTGATTAATCTGTTGACTAATATTTTTTCCAAGTTGTATCAAAAATTTTTACGACTGACATCAAAACTCAAACAGAAAAAAAACTTTCCCATGGAATTTTTTTGTCAGACGAGTTTCACAATCATCGAGAATGGTTTTTGTTAGATGAAAAAGGAAAAATAGTTTCAAACAAAGCGGTCGGACTAGACGATCTGACAAAAATGCCTGCGTTCCTAGGAGCGTGTGAGCGGAAGACTGAAAAATGTTGCTTACCTACTTTTTTCTCGAAAAATATCAAAATTCCTTTCGGTCATGTTTCACGTTCGTGAAGAAGGATACTTATTTGTAGCGCAAACACAACTGCAAAGAAATTATTATATAACTCTCGCGAACACACGAACTCCGTATATACACGAACGGAGCCGCTTCAAAGAGACGCGCGTAATTTGCATCGTTATCTAGCGCGCGCACGACGCGGCGGGAGAAGAAAAGGACTCGCTCACGCAATCAATGAAAGTTTAGATCGGTTGACACGAGTTAAATATATAGTTTTTTTTCATTTTTTAATTTTTTTTTTATGTGAGATGGCCCTTTTACGTCTTCACGTAGGTAATTATCGCGCTCTTTGTGCTGGAAGAAGTGCACGTTGAAAGCAGAAACGCGCGGTGTTTTCTATCTCCGACACACACGCGCAACCGGTGAAAATGAGAAGAGCGCGCGCGCGCGCAACTGTAGGCGCGTCCGTTTCTCCTTTCCTCTCTTCGTGGGTCCACGAAGGAGAGAAAGTCTGTCGACATCGATTACGTATAACAGTCGTTCGTTGGGAGTCGAAGGTCCCCCAGCTGTTCTTCCGTGCGAAGCGACGGTGGAACCCTCGACGCCTCCTCGTTTCAGAAAGCCCTTGTCGCGAACTTCAAACCCGTCTATCGTTTCCTGCGACGACGGAGCGGCGGTGACTTTCGCCCGAAACGCGCGCGCGCGCGTTGTCAATTTCGCACAGGTCAGAGCTCACGAGAGAAAATCATTGCGCGTCAAAAGAGAAGAGAGATAAATCCAAAATACATACTTGGCGGCCAATAACCTCCCGATACAAATAGTATAGTCAAGTCGGTCAACTTCCGATGGTCGAATATACCGCCTGAGCGAAGATCGATAACGCCGCTGTGGAGCGCGATGTGTCTATTTATATGTCGGTTATATTACGTACGAGACAGAGGAGGAGGATGTAATCTTCGATGTGTTCCAGATAAGGTCTTTACACGCGATGTATACCGGCGTGGCAATACACACATATCGGCGTTGCATTAAACGAGCGCGAAAAATTCTAACGTACGCCACGAGGGATAATTGTACGAGCGTGTGAGCACGAGCGGTGGCGCTCAATGATGCGAAATTAAACGTCGAATAAATGAGCGTAATATCGATATCGACACGACCAAAACACGACACAAGAAATTTCGTTAATTATGTACGAGCCGGGAGGCGGAGAGAGAAGCGCGTGGAGAGGAGAAATAATTTCGAAACATATCCCGTAGCAATTTTTCAATTCCCAACTCATCGAATATGTACACTCATGCGCGACATTTATATTATACGCAAATGAAATTCTGATAACAGTTTAAGGCCCGTTCACATTAGAAACGCATTTTCCGCTCAACACAAATGTGCGAGAGCGAGTCTTTGTTACACGAAAATTTGCGATACATCCGAAAATTTGCTTTCGCGCAATAACGAGAACTCGCGAGTTTTTAACTGGCCTGTCGAGCGGTTATAATTATCCTAAGTGGTTGGATACGTTCTGTGTCTCTAATTGTAAGAGTATTTGATAATTACAACTTCGCTCCCAAGAGTAATTAGTCTCTCTTGCACGAATCTCACTTTATTTATTTTTCTCCGCATCTGTTCACGAACTGTTTCGTGTACGTCGTACTTCGTGCGCGCATATTATCGCGAGAATTTCGCGCTATTGATCGCCAGCTCAGGATGCAGGCAATATCGGGTCTGGCGATGCATTCCCGTGTCGCGGGCTACAACAACACGCCGTCCGTAATCCACGACACCCAACCGCACCGATTAGGCCGGATGGATCGGGCCGCGGTCGAGTCATGTGTTCGACGAAGTTACAACGATTTAAACTGGGACATGTGACGCGATGACGAGAAGGGCGAGGAACGGGGCTCACTCTTTCTCTCTCTCACCGCGTCTGGTTGACAATAAGGGAGCTAGCGACCCTTGCCGAGGAGGGAAACAGCTGTTGATCGGAGGTGGAACGATATACCGGACAGAGGAGGAGAGACCGGGAGGCGAGAGACGACGGAGGGTAGGCAGGAAGAAAAAAGAGGTTACCACCTGGTATATCCCCGGCTTATGCTTACCTGAAAACCGATGCCAGCCACCAGTATACCTGAAGGCCCGAGACTTCTTTTGTGCCCGAGGCCCCAGGGCCATTTCCAGAGAGTCGTGCAAGCCCGCACGGCTGCATTCGACAAAATTTGCGAAGAAACTTCGGTTCTCGAAGTTTCTAACAAACCAGAACAGAAAAATGTCGAGAAAACCTTTTGTTCGCCGACATCTTTCCAATGTCCAGCAGAGCCGGATATTACGGTGCAAAGATAAAAAGACATATTGTGGGAAACGATGATGAGAGTACGGGTAAAAATTGGTCTGGGAAAAAAAACACGAGAAAAAACGGGCTTGGTTACAAAAGACTTCCTGAAGATAATTTTCAAAATTTTTCGTATATTTTTCTTTACGTCGATCCGTTTCACGGAAAAGAGAATTGAACAGCAGGCTATTTCCCGTGACAAATCGAAAACGATATTTTAACGAGGGTCACTTTTCGTGAGCGATTCTAAATCGGATGATGGCAACCTTTTGCATGATTAACGATTTGCCAACACGTTTTTCAATTCCGTGAATTATCCTTTCCGAATCGCACAAATTGTCGAGATATCTGAGAGAGGATCCAAAAATGTATCGTTTAATATAATATTCGAAGTAATTGATTTTATTTCTAATGTTATGAATTCGGGACACATTATGTATTTCTGAACCGTATATATGTTACACTCTTACCATCTGTCGAAAGTAAATCCGAGAAAATTGGTAATTTCCGTGACCATAATCGATTTCTCGCGTGTCACAGGAAATATTGGGCAGATGGCAGTGTACACGCCGTTTAAAACGTCATCGAATTTATATTTACTCTAATCCAATTAATTTTCTCTCGTATTGCAATAGAAATAAGACTTACCGAGTAAGACACGTCTTTCGACACGATTCAGCTGTTTCGATCCCGTTGCGATGCTCCGCCGTAGTTGGAAAACTTGTTTTGAAATTTATTTCGAAAGAGTTGGAATCGACGTTGCATTTTATTCCGTTGACATTTTTTCATCATCCTTTTCTCTCTTCTTTTTCTTGTTTTTTTTTTTTTTTTTTTTTTTTTTTTACAAAAACGTTAAGTAGAAAACATGGCTTGATAAAATGTGTAAACGAACTTAAACCTACAGAAAGGTAATAAAAATATATACAATATAAGATCCTACAATTTAAGTCTGAAGGGCACGTAAAGCGTCCTGTAATTTCTTCCTCGCTACAGCCACTCGATCTTCTTGCTTCTTTATGTCTTCGTCCGCTATCGAGACAGCCTGAAATAAAAAAAAATAAATCGACTTATAAGTGTAATATTAATAAAATTGTCTAATGTAATATTAATAAAAATGTCTAATTTATATACATAAGATGAGTATGAACTGTTATCGAATAACATTGACATCTAATTATCGATGTGTATCAAGTTAAACACTGATATTGAAATTCCATAGTTTCTCCGATAGAGTTTTCCATTTTATTTTTGGAAGTCTCTATAATTTACAAACAAAGTCCTCGACATTTTCAAATACTTTAGACATATTTTAAACGACTCTATAGAATAATAAATAAATAAATCACTGTTCTTAATACACTGAAAATAAAACAACTATTTTGAAGTCATTTTAGTTGTAATTTCATGGTATTTGACATTTAAGGTATTTATAGAGATTTATATCAGATCTTATATTTACGATCGTTGCAAATTGATTTTCAGATGCTTTGTAAATAAAACAGCTCGTACGGATCCTACCTGAACGAGCGGTTGATCGGGATTGAGAAATACTCCGGGATTTTTCTCCAAAGCCGCTTTAGGTCCAGTTTGCCCTGTAACTGGTTGCGAAGATACATGTAACGCGGTGGCCACACTTTGCAACAGAGTCTCTTCTGTGATATGCGGTCCTACTGGTTTTAAGTTCTTTGGCAGATCCATGGCATCAAATTCGTAACCGTCCGGATCACAAGCGCGCAATCCTTCTAATCGTTTTTCCCAGAACAGCTGAAAAGTTTCATTAGAAATTGAAACTTAAAGATTTTGATTACTGACAACGATTTATATATCAGTCTACTGACGCAACACACTATACATTACTACTTAAATGATACAGGTTAAAAAAAGAATATCGTCTGTATGACGTAAAAATTTATAGAAAATTATATAAAATTGAATCATTGCTTTTATATTATCATTGTAATATAACATATGATTGTTAAATTCAATTTAAAATCCAGCTCAAATAAAAGTCTCAATAAGTTACAAGTTTTTTTTTCTATCAAGATTATTTTGTGTCTGTCTCATAATTATTAAAAAATTACTATATCCTATTGAATATTATTTGCCGTTAAAACTTCAATAGAAAGAAAAAATAATTATTGACCATTTCATGATTGCGTGTTTAGAGTTACCTGCTTAGGCTTATCTTGAGAGGCATACTTGCTGTCAGTTTTATCAACTCCTTCCTAAAGCAACGATTTAAGAATTGTATCATGTGAACAAGGACAGAGGACGTTCTAGTAAAGAATGTTAAAAAAGTGAATGGATATAAAACACAAACTGTGTGTCTCACAGGTATCAATAGAGAGTCAACTTTCGACAGTTAAGAAATCTCCCAGCTCCCAACAAGTGTGTATTTTTGGATAATAAGTGCGCAAGTAAATAGAAAATACACACACATGTCACATACTGAATAGAATATAAAAACCATTCAAGTTTTATTGTGATACCACATCATTGATTTTACCAGCAGCTCAATCACTGTGTACAGTTAGATCGCTATGTGAACCAACCTGCTTTGGTCTATCCTGAGTGCCATGTTTGGCATCTCTTACTTTTCCTTCCTGTGATTTGATAATTGTCACCGGTTGCTTGAAAATTGATGCCGTTTGCCTAATCGGTGGAACCAACGACGCGTCATTTCTGATATTACGACTGAAAAAAAAAAAAATAACCATGAAGAGCTGTCTACAAACAAAAATGGGAAGACTAGCGTTTAAAGAGTGACAGATTTGAAGAGAGAGGTTTAAATTTCACTCTCTGTATGTAAAACTGTTTCTTCTGAACAAAGACAGTTAAAATATACGGTAAATAGTGCTAAACACGATAAGAGTTTAATCAATTTACTTATAATAATAATCCTTCCCCGTGGATGGCAACTGGCTCTGACTTTTTCGCTCTTCTCTTTGCCAGCTGATCGGCAAGGCTGAAGCGTATTTCTTCTTCTCCACAGACATATTCATCGTGATCGTTTGTATCGCACAAATGTTTTGCCAAACAAATTTTACACTCAAACAGTTGTACAAATATGTTTACTATTACATAGTTTGCTCATTTTGTTTTACCGTCAGCCATATTGGAGTAACACGAGAAACACTCGGAAAGTTTCAAAGCGTCAAGCGGATCGCGTCTCGTAGTTCGACGTTTCGCCTTTAGGGCGCAGCAGTTTCTAGTGCGCGAAGTACGTCAATCGCGGTCGTTGAACCGGTGGTGCGCGCTAAATCAGGACTTCTTTTTTTAGATTTCATAACTTCGCGTCGTCTTCCACCTGTTTCGCGATGTAATCATCTATTTTTTGACTTTGTCACGCGGACTTCCACGCGGATTTTTATATCCTTGGACAACTTCGCTGAAAAAAGAAGCGCAATTTTTGGACTTCCTTGGTCAAACAAATGGCGGACGCTTCAAAGATCGCGCACAGTTCTTATTCTTCGTACTGTAAGTTTGTGAATCTAAATATTATTATTATTTGGTTTTTCCTCTATATATTATCACGTCGCATGAAATATTTCTCTTAGGTATTTTGAAAAGGATCAGTCAGTTATCCTGGACACTTTCTTTTTTTAATATCACTTTATTTTTTACATCTGCGAAATATGTTAAGTGCTGCAACATACTTTCAAAAATGTTGAAGTTCTACTTACCCTGAAAAAAAAATCTAGAACTTTGCTCTCCTTATAAAAATTACATTCACAATTAGAATACATTTTCCATTTTCACACATTTCACGAGTTATATATGTATGTATAAAAAAAAGCATTCGACTGAGACGGGATCGAAGGAACGGAGGATTCGGCAAAAATAATAAATTATATGACAATGATTTATTTTATATAGATATAGAGGATTTTAATTGCCGAAAGAAACAATATATTTTTCGCGTAGCTATAGGAACAACTTGAACAGTGCTTGGAAAAAGATTAACGCTGTCTGTCTTCCGTTTGTTTTTTTTCTTTTTTTTTTTTTTATGAATGTATTATTTCTCTCCCACGGCGGCTTTCGTACGCTTTCGCGGGGTGCAAAATGCGAGCACGGAGACACAATTTCAACATATGCGCGGGGAGAAGGAAGGAGAGGAAATAGGAAAGGAAACGGGTGGATGGGGGAGGGGGCACAATCGTCGTCGTACTCGTCGTGAGACTTACTTGTTTATCGCGTAATGCTTTTTTTCACGGTGCGTGTGTTATTTCAACTGTAAAAGAATATCGATTCTGTACAAGTTGATGAATTAGTGATAATTAACTATTGAGTCTTCTTGAGGTATCGTTGTTTCTATTGGTCTATATAATCGGAGCTGTGCTCGTCCAAAATCGAATCATGTTACATTGGCGTGTATGTGTGTTTGTGTGTATGTCTGTTTGTTATTTAATCGTCTCTGCGTGTATATTGTAACTCTTTCTCTTTGCGTGAACACCAGTTATTAACGTGTAACACGGCGCGAAGTGCTTTTTTTTTATTTTTTTTTATTTTTTTATTTTTTTTTTATTTGTTTATTCTATTTTCATAATATTGCGGCAGTATTAAATCAGTGACATTGGATTTTGGACGATCACAGCGGTGTCAACGTGTGTGTGCCTTCCTGTAACAAAATATAAATCTCCATTACGCATCACCCGCTTTCACCATACGGTTCCGAATAATAAACGTACTAATTAGTATTCTAATAAAGTCCAGACGCATCTGCGCGACTTTGAAGTTGCACCGAGGAGCAATAAGAATTCAAGTGTTTTGTCTCGCTTTACATATTATTATATAGTCGTCGTCGTCGCTGCAGTCGTCGTGGTGTTTTTGTCGATTGCGCTCTCGACCGGGTCGCTCGATGGGATCGTTTAAAAGTCTAGGATCTCATCATGATGAATAGTCACAAAAATACTTTTTCGAATAATCTGCAAAACTCGTCCACAAAACGTGGTCCGCTCGCTCGTGTGGATGTGTATCTTTTTATGCATATATATAATATGTATGTACGTGTCTCTCTTTGTATGTGTACGTGTGTGTGTACATGTGTGTGTAGTATGTGTGCGCGTAGTATGTATATATACTATATATATGCCTATTATGGCAGTCGAGACTCGCAAATAATGTACAAATAATGTGTCCGTGCGTTGCGTTCGGCGCAACTTATTGAATTTTCTATTTGTAGTCAATACCGCTTGTAATAGGCGTATGAAAGCCAAGTTTCCTGCTTACTTGCGCGTAAGTCACTGCGAAAGATCGAAAAAGTATATCTCTTTTACCTGTTTATCATCTTTCACCTTTGTTTTTTTTTGTATAACCGTTCCTCTGTTTCTCTCTCTCTCTCTCCCTCTCTCCCTCTCTCTCTTTCTTTCTTCGCTTATAAAATCTCCATTACAATAAAGTCTTAACGGTAGACGTAACAGTGTTCATATACGAAAAAATCGTATGTAAAACTGAAAATGGTAATAAGTACAAATTATTCTTCCTCTCGGTGGTAGAAATGTCAAAGATCACATTGTCTGCCTCTCGATGCTGAATACGCACGCGACATTCGTGCGCGCGTTTAATATCGACAGCGTGATCGATACTTTATCGGTTTCTCATAGCCCCTATTCCTTCGCTACATGACGTAAACATGGTCGGTCTACATGTGTGCTCGATATATTATGCATAATTCTTGCGACACAACGTACACATTCCTACTTTGACAAATCTACAACACTAAAGTCAGCCGCGATCACGCGATCGGATGTATCTCGTTCTCGCGCGAGAACAAACCGTCGAAACACGCGCCATATACTCGCTGCTCTTCCATTTTTTTCCTTGCACGCAGAGAACATCCTAATTATAAAGATTCTATATTACATCAGTAACATATTACACAAGCGATTCTGAATCGCCTCCCACGTTAAATACAGTCGGAGGTTTACTTACTTTACACGCACATTTGTCTCTTCTCTCGCACATCCATTTGCTGCGTCACATCTTCTACTTACGATCGTAGGGCTCTATACAATCTTATACAGCCAAAAAGTGCTGCAATCTTTATATATATATTTATATATTTATATATATATTATGTAAATGACCATCCCGTAGTAAATTTAGCTCTTCGAGAGCTTCTTGTGAAAACGGGTAATTTAATCCGTGTTTCGTCCGATATATAGCAACCATAGTACCAGACCAAGTTTTGTCTCGATTTTTGTCAAGTTTTACGTCGTATTTTGTCTCTCTCTCAACAGGTCGCGCACTTTGCGTAAGAGAGACAATTCTATACAATTTTATACAGCTGAAAAGTGCTGCGATCTTTATGTATATATCATTTATATATATATATATATATATATATATATATATATATATATATATTTATATTTATATATATATATTATGTATATGTTCTTCATGTAAATGATCATCCCGTAGTGAATTGGTTAAGCTCTTCAAGAGCTCCTTGTGAAAACGGGTAATTTAACTCGATATATATTATGTTTCGTCCGATATATATAGCAACCATAGTATCAGATCAAATCTTGTCCTGATTTTTGTCAAGTTTCATTACGTCTCTCTTAAGAGATCGCATTGTGCGTAAGAGAGACACTTGCTTCAATTTCTCTCGTAATAAGTTAATGAATCGATCATTAAGAAGCGATCGACGCTGCGCGAAGTATATCCTATTGAGTGAAATGCGTTCAATATATCACTTCGTAGACGGTGGCTTTTTTGTCGCCGGATCCGGTTACGATGAACTTGTCGTCGGTAGAAATGTCACAGCTGAGCACCGAGGAGGATTCCTTAGACTGGAAAAAAAAAACCGGAAACAATTACATTACACTCTGAGAAATGAAATTATGATAGATCGTATACTGGATATTGAAAGTAAACTAGTAATTTACGTTACGCGGCAACCAACCTGGAATATCGATGCGCCGTATGGCGTGCGCCACGCGTTAAGTAAGTTGTCCTTGCCGGTGGAGACGAACCACTTGCCGCACGAAGCGAAACGTAACGAGAGCACGCAAGACTCGTGTAGATGCAGCTGATACTTGTCGGGCTTCGTGGCGTGAAGTACCTCGACATTCGAATTCTCCATACCCACAGCCAGCCACTCGCCGGTCGGGCAGTATCCCAGGGAGAATATCTGCGACGTGAAGTCGTGCTGCTGCAACTGCCTGCCCTCCCGCAGGTCCCAGGAGCGCACGGTATTGTCGAGACCGCCCGTCCAGAGCTTCGAACCGTCGGCGGAGATGTCGATGCACGACGCGCCGTCCGTGTGGCCTTGGAACTGTCTGACCAATGTCTGATTCTGCAGATCCCATACGGCAATGTTGCCGTCGCTGCAGCAACTGAAGCAGACCTTCGAGTCTGGCGAAATGGCTAGTGCGTAGCACGCGGGCGCGGAGGAAGTCAATTCCGCCTTGATTCGCGGCGTCGGGCTCGCCAGATCCCAGATGCTGAGATTACTCGCCTCACCGCCCACAATCAGAGTCCTACCGTCGGGCAGCAGTTTGACCGACCTGGTGACATTGAACGACAAACACATTGTTAGAATCTCGCTTATTGTTGAACGATGCTATTTGTGCGCGCTTTAAATAATCTCGCTCACACGCGCATTGACACATACGAAATGAGAGGGGAGAGAGGCGGGGATAAATGTGTACCGAAAATGTACGCAGTGAAATCGATGCCGGGCTGCTTCGTGATATACAACCAGCCGGACACGACTAAACGTCATTCAGAATTCAGTCGAAAATTAATTACATCGACCGCATATAGCATTTGGGGGAGTTAATGTGTCACGAATAGCGAATCAAGACAACACGTGTTACCACTACGACTGACCTGATGTAGTTGTCGCGTTGCAAGCAATCAAGCTGCGAGACGGGTTTTGTGCTGCCGTTGGCGCCCTGACTGATGTCCCACACTTTGACGCAGCCTTTGCCACCGGTGTAGACGTACTTGGTCGGATTCGAGATCGTCACCGCGCAGACTACCTCACCGTGAGTGAGAGTGTTTATCTGACGCGCGTGACGCGGAATGCCGGGACCGATGAGCGCGTCCTGCGGGAACGGCACCGGCTGCATCGTTCCTTCGCTGGAAACGTGGAAGCTATACGCACTGCGAAAAAAGAGATCCCGTAAGATCCCGCAACCGATAAAACGTACACGGAAAAAAAAACTTTGTTGGCACAGCAAGTTTTTCACTGCTATAGCAAACTTGTTTATTTTGGGACCAGTGAAAAAAATCTTGCTAAAAAACTAATTTTATTTGTTCAAAATATTTGTTTAAATCTTGAAAATATTTTATAATAAGTTGGTTCTCAATGTATTATCAATTTTGCTGAAATAACAATAGATTTTGAACAAAGTTGCTACATTAACAAGCCACTTTTGTTCCTTCCCAAAATATTCTTGTAATCTATGTAAATGTATAAATCAGGCCTTAAAATGTCCACGAAAACATAAATATGACATCAATAAGATTCTAACCGGGGTCTGATAGACTCCCAGAGCAATGCGTTGTTATTCATCGTTGTTCAATTTGTACTCCTTTCGGTAGATCACACCGGTGATGATATAGATAGTTTTTTACCGAATAGGTAAAGTAGAATCACTCGCGTATTAAAGTATAGCGATTATATTCCTGCGTAATAGTTGCTCATAGTGGTTATGTTCGGAATGTCTGATTTTCCCGAAGGAAACGTTAGAACAGAGAAAATTGTGCTATTCGCGCTGTATTTTCAAATAAACGCAGATGGCGTTGTATTTAGAATCGATAAGAGATCGATATATCGAATTCAAACTTCTTCTTCTTTGCATTTATGGCCCCACGCCACCTGTACGGTTAAGGCAACGGCCAGTCTTTGATTGGGTGTGTGTAAACACCGTAGATAAATAACACTAAAGTGGGCTAAGTCTTTGTTGTGAACTGGATTTTAGTGACTACTACGTATTACTCGATCGCGGATGTGTACACGTTTACTGTCCCCCGGCAGGATAAACTTACAACGCAAGTCCCCCTACCACTCATAAATAGTATTACTAGGTCTAAAACCGTGGGTTGGCTACTCGACACCAAGACACGGAGTTATACTTTTGTTAAAAACACTACCAAACAAACAAATCAGTGTAAAAAAACACCGAAAAAAAGTCCAAAAATATTTAAGCGTAACTACGCACGTCCAGCCGGCACGGCTGACGCAACAGCTCTTTTTATCGAATTCAAACACTTTCTCAACGAAGGAACATATAGACGTATAGAGCACTAACTGCGTATGAAGAAAATCGACTATGGACGTAAGAGAGTCAAGATCAAGACACTGACTTCGGTAACTCTCGGTTACGTTCGATAGCATTCGGCTCACATATGTAGAGTTTTGTTCGGTTCGTTCGGCACATTCTTGTAGACTTGATTTCTTAGTGGCTCAAGGGCTACACACACACTTCTGTACGTGTGTAGCGAGACTTGCGACCTGCGTCTGCGTTGTAAGGGCTATCTATAAGACGCAGACGCGGGTCTGAGGAATTGACTAATCACGTTTGTCGATTGGTCAATTCCGTGAGACTTGTGTCTGCGTCTGATGCAGACTTTTATGTAGATGGGCCTTAATATCGAACATTTCTAAGCGCTCACTGAATTAGCCTTAGTCTTAGTACTACTTCTCTTATTGGCTGCTTTCCTTTTAAGAGACACAGTTGACACAAGTCGACACAAAAGTCATTCTGTTTTTGTTCAGTATTCAGTGAGAAACAAAGACAGAATGACTCTTGTGTCGACTTGCGTCGACTGTGTCTCCTAAAAGGAAAGCAGCCATTATCATCTATATTCCTTGCAGTATAGCTCTATATATTCCTGAAGTCTATGCGCTAAGACCGACGCGACATTTCAAAACTCGGTTTCATGATCAGTAGCAAATTGTATTTGCTGTTATGATAAATTTATATATCAGCAGCAACAGTTTTTTTTTGTTACAATAGTAAAAATATCTGCTGAAAAAGAGATGATTTGCTTTAGTAGCGAATTAAAATGTTTGTACAAAAAACATTTATTCAGCAAAACTTTTATATTTCTCGAGCAAAACGAGTTTTACAATAGTATCAATAAAATGAAACTTTGATCAGAGAACCAAACTTTTTTCGCTGTCATTACAAAGATGTAATAGCAATAACAAATTTGTTGTGGCAACAAAATTTTTTTTCTGCGTATACAAATTGCGAAAGCGATTGCGAACGTGAGGAAGAAAACACTCACGGTTTGCCACCGGGCGGAACACCGATCGGTCCGAGCGGCGCTCTCATAGTGTGAGGATCGTAAAGCTGCTGAAGAGGCGGTCTCGTAGGATAGCCATTGAGCGTCGCCGAGGGATAGCCCAGCATGTCCACGTGAGGTCCCGCGGGCGGATGATGCGGTGGCGGATAGTGCGGATAAGGACCGACCACCGATGCCGAGACCAGTGGTTTGGTGGAACTCGATGGTTTCAACCCACCTGAACCGGAACTGCTTCCACCTACGGCGAAATCAATTAATTGATTACTTCCCCAAGATGTTTATTTTTATTTCTAATATATATTGACAGGCATGTAAATACCATGTGTAAATTTCTACTCCGATGTTTGTGTGTCAAGTTTCATGCTCGAATTCACAAAGATCCTAAATAAACGTACCTGCGGATGTTGGCGTAACTGGTTTCGAGATTGGTGTCGTCGGTTTCTCACGTTCCTCCATTTTCTTGGCCGAGGGAGTGCTCGCGTTGCTGCTGGTGCCGCTCCTAGGGGACGGTGGCGGCACCTCCTTCTTCACCTGGCCGCTGAGCGGCACCGAAGACGGACCCAGTTTATCGAGACCGTTCTCGCGCGGCGACGCGGTGCCATTTGCCGCTGGACTGGTCGGACCCTCGCTCGCGTCGTCCACCACCAGATCTTGGTCGCTCTTTTCACCATCGCTTTGCTGTCGGGGAGAACGTGCACGGCTTCATTAAAACGGCCCAAGAATCGCATAACATGGAGTGCTAATTTGGAATACCTACATGGCCAATGTCCTTGTCGTGCTCCTTTTTCATCTTCTTCAGAGGCAGATGATCGTGTTGCGGATCAGGTGTGCTGCGCGGTCTGTATTTCTCTCGTTCTGCGGGTGATATCGAATTTCTCTGCAAAAAACAAAGATCGCAACATCGACATTTTAGATTTTGAAATCTCTGACGGAATTATTTGAATTATTCAATAAAAGACACTTTGTGAGTTTTCTGAAGGAAAAAAAAACATCTATTCTCGTTCCGCGCAGTTAATCCGATTATAGAAATCTATGGGATTTACTCAAGATGTTTACGGACTGAACTTACTTTCTCGTAGATTTCTACGAGAACATACTGAGGATCTATTGTGATTGAAGGGAATTGTCGATTGATGGAGAAAAGAAAGAGAGAGAGAGAGAGAGAGAGAGATGATAAATTCTTTTCCAGGTAGCGCAATTTGTCGTCGGTATAGTTACAAACAGGAACGTCATATTGACGACACCTTGCCACCTTGTTTATCACATAGTACAGAACTCCTTTCGAAATCTCGCGCGTATCGCGTATGTATGGGATTTCGCAGTACAATAGAATCTCATTATAGAATAATATTGAAAATTAGATTATTGAACAACTAGTAAAGTAAAAACAAAAGAAAAGAAAAATTATCAACTCGACAAATTTTCGTGCAACACGTCTTCGCGTTTTCGCGTGAACGTCTAAGAAGTCGTCGGTACAAAAATATTTTCCGGATCGAAAGACATCGATGAGAAATTTTACGAGCGACAGTTTATTGACGGTAAAACAGTCGCTCATCGTTCACATACCTTCATATATATATATATAAGTGGCAGGTCTTTTTTTGTCTCTGATATATAAATGCGCGTTCCATCTTGCGACTTCGTATAATAAAAATAGGATCTCGGCGTTTGCGATTTTATGCCATGACTTGTCCACTTCCGTATCGATTTGTCTGAATATAGCAAAGAAACCGAGGCCAAATTTTCAAAGATAAAAGATATAAAATTTGGAAACGTTCTTGCATCTACAGGTACAACTTTCTGAATTTGCCTAGAAATAATAACATAACGTGCATTAATTATTTTATTAAAAACAAAAAATTTATACAAAAATGTTCACAAACAACAAATACAAAAATAAACAACAAATAAAAATAAAAAATAGAGAAGTGTGTAAATTTGGAAATTTATGACGTTTCGTCACGTTTGCGAGTTGTACAAAAAATTCTCAATAAAAATATTTATCGGCGGTCGAAGCGATTCGATTGCGCATAAAAAACTAGTCATCTCTTTGCGGAACAAAGAGACCGGCGGTCTAATAGTGCAAAAATATTGCAGACATATTCTAGAGAGAACGTAACAGCCAACACTCTCGCTTGAGAGCCCCTATCGTAAACCGTCGCTCCCGATGTCGAAGTAAATCTCCTCTCCTCAATTACCCTTCGTTCTTCCTTCTTCACTCCTTCTCTATTGCTGTCACCTTTCTCGCTCTTTCGGTCCATTACTTTGTCGCCCCGGTATTATCTCCTCCTTCTGTCGGCCGAAACGCTTCGAAGTGAAGGGAAATAAAAAAAAACGGCACCTCTCTTGAGAGACGCAAATAACGCGGCGCACGAATGTGTCTGGCGTACCGGGGAGGGTGATTAACGTGCGAAATTACATTTTGCGAGGATAAGCGTATCACACAGACGCGGGTCTTGCGCGTAAACACCGATGAAGAAATCGCTCAGGGAAAGGGAACGTCGTCGCTCGGCGTGTACGGGAGCACGAAATCTCACGACGTGGAAAAATCAAGCGAGCATGTTTCTCTCGTTTCACGACAACGGTGCGGCAGTAGCGACGAAAGAGAAGAAAAGAGAAAAGAAAAATAAAAAGCTTTTGCTCCTCTTTCCTCCTCCCCCGGAGAAGAGTGAGAGCGCGGAAGAGAAGTCCCGCAAACACGCGCCTCGCTCATGTCATGAAAGATTCTCGGAAGAAAAGGATTCCCCAGGAGTCGTATTACGTGCCTCTTTCGAGTTTTCCTCGCGAAAGAATCCCGGGGGAGAGTGGAGGATCTTTTTCTTGCGATTTCGCGTAAGAAGAAAGGATAGTCCTCTCGTTATCCCGGGAACAGTCGGTCACTGCTTATCCGAGGGTTATCCAGCGAAGCAGATGAGACGACTGTCGTGTCGTGTCGCTGAAAGCAGAGAATCTCACGAAAGAAAAAGAATCTTTTGTCCGGAGGAAGGGACATGACGAAGGGCGTGTAGAAGATGAACGCGTCCGAGAGAAATGATTGGGAAGATTTACACAAATACGCGGTCGACCAGAGAATAAAATCTCGTTAATTCTTGCGAACTGAAGACATTCGAGGTAACTTCGCAAATAACTATTGAAATATATCTTTCGAATAACTTTTCGTGAATATGCATTGAACAGTTTTATGAAAAAGTCGGCGACTCAATTTCAGCTTCATGGAAAATCACGCGAAAACATGCGCCTTCTCTCGACGCTGCGTACTCCATAGTAGATATGTATCCGGAAGTCTCGTCTTCGGGTAAACGCATCCCTTTTTCTCCTTCCCTCCCTCCGCATATCGAGACGCCGATAGCTCGCAATGTCGTTTCGTAAGAGAGCTTCTCGTTTCTATTCTCTCTTGCTTTCTAGTTTGCCAGTGTACACACACATATATATATATATATGTATATATGTGTGTGTGTGTGCTGTATAATATGTGTGTATGTAACACGCATATATACACGCGACGTGTATACACCCTCAGCGAAGAAACGATACACACGCGGCCCGCCTTCCATTCACGTAAGTTTACTTACACCTATCCCGTCGGCTATCCATACCACCCTCACCCACAAAGAGGATTCGTGCCACGATCAATATGGGGGTTGGTACCTTTAGGGAGAAGGAGAAGGAGGAAGGCGGCGGTGGCGTGTAGGAGGAGCTGCGGGTATACCGTAGATATATAGACTTTGTAGTGTTAGGGACGACTTGGTCCGCAAGCAGGCAGGCAGGCAAGCAACTTGGCAAGCAGCAGCACCGAAGTACAGTACAGGGGTGGCTCTTTCGAGGGTGAGACGCGAGAGTGGTGAGACGACGGCGGTGGAAAAGACCGGGGGACGGGAAAGGAGGAAGACGGCTTTGGCCGTGTGCATGGTATTGGGGTTGGCGGTCGCAGCCATGAGGGTGGTAAGTGAGTGAGCGACTCCTTCGCCACGGCGCCTCGTCTCGACTCAACCACCCTAACCTTACGGATATATCCCAAGCCACCGACCGACCACCCACCATCCTCTTTCTATCTTCTCTCTCTCTCTCTCTCTCTCTCCTCCTCCTCCTCCTCGGCAGCTTCTTCTCTCTCCTTTCCTTTTCTCCTCTCCTCTTGCTGCCGCTACCACTCGCGCACTCTCACCCTATGTAGACCAACTCGCCCCCGGCCGCCTGCCTGCCTGCCTGCCTGCCTGTGGTGCCTGTTTCCCTATTCCTCACTCCACTCTCGTCGTCGTGGCTAGGACCCCGAGAGAGAAGGTTACGAGCCGGAGTCGCGTCTCCCAAGACTCCGCAAACCCCAGCTGGTACAAGATTGCACCCAGTGGCTCTCAAACCAAGTCGTCGCCGTTGTTGTCGTTCGTGGAACGCGCTTGGGACGAGGAGACATCGAGAAATTGGGATTCCGTGCGGATTGTCGCGATGCGATACCCCCGACGACGGAGATGCTCGTGGCTAACGGACATTGTGCTATTTTACGCCGCAGCGGGAGATGTTCGTCTAAATGCGTCCGACCATTACTGCGCGTCTCGACGAATCTCGTACAGTCATCCAGTATACGATAGAGATGAACGCTTTCGACTTTCGAATTGTCGAATCAAATTGCCATACAGGGAACGCAATTTGCAAGTAGAGTATCCGAATATAGACAAATTTCGGGGTGGCATTAAATTACATTTTTTGCCATTTCGCCGATTTCGTACTCGCTTGAGAATAACTTGGCTTCTGAATATTCAACGCGGCCGATCTGCGATTTTCGTTTCGCGTCGCGCACCGATCGATTAATTTAATTACCGAAATCGCGCCTGTGCGAGCTATCTCGGCGACGAGATTCATGACGAAATCTAGACCGGATGAGTGCAATTTCGGGGGCGACACGGGACTCTCTCGCTCGCTCGCTTGCTCCGAGCTATGTGGCGCGCGGCGCGCAGCTTACTCGCGGATGCATGGAATTTTTAATGATCGCTCGTCGGAGCGTGTGCGACGCGGTAATCGATTCGCAGAATCTGGCGCGTACTCGTCGTGTCACTAGGTCAAATCCAGTGTGCATTCGTCATATCGGCAATTAGTGCGCGCGAATTTTTATTACCGCGCGACGCGCGCAACGACCCGCGGATATTCTCCCGTTTCGCTCGAAATGATCTTTTTCCGCGCGGCTTGTCCGAATCGAGTTGCTCGACGAAAACAAATCCCTTCCCAATATCTGTGCGCTTTTCCACGAGGAGTGGAAAGGAGAGGAGAGGCAAATCGGATTTCTTTTTTAGATACAAGATTATTTAGGTCGCATTTGCGCGCGCGCGCGCGTTTTTGAAATAAAAGCTTCAACGTTGCGACACAGTCGCTTCACGAGAATAGGAATTTATTCATATAAACGTCGCGCTGTTTGCCAGAGATGTACACGGGATGCGGATTGTCGCCGTCGAAATTTTTCAACGGAAGAACGCGTTTCTCGCAATCGGACCCGCTCAAATTGGACGACATATAAATAAAGCTCGCGCGGCAGCGCGGCGAATCAGACAGAAATTCACAACGCTATGATTTATGACGACGGTCATAAATAGCAAAGTTCCCTTTCTCTCGCGTTTTGCCCGTTGTTTTCTGGCGCTGCGCTTTTTTCCTGTCTCTTCCTCGCCCCTCTCTCTTTTTCTCTTTCCCTTCATCCCCGGCGCGGCATTCCCGTGGTGGAATTTGCATTTTTAAATTAACTCGCCTCTGTTTGCAGCTATCTCGGCTCGGCGGCGCCGCGCTGCTGGCTCTGCAATTTTATGCGGCAACGCGTGTGTGTATGGACCGCGCCCCATCGTCCCCTCCCGCCCCCTCCCGTACATACACATACCATCCTCTCGTCGCCACCGTTCT